TGAACGTGTCCATGGGGACGAAGTTGAAGTTTAGCTCTGCATATCACCCACAGACCGACGGACAGTCGGAACGAACCATTCAGACGCTTGAGGACATACTTCGAGCCTGTGTTCTAGAGTGTGGTGGTTCGTGGGAGAAGTTGTTGCCCACTGTAGAGTTCGCCTACAATAACAGCTATCACTCGTCGATTAAGATGGCGCCGTTCGAAGCTTTGTACGGGCGCAAGTGCCGCTCACCCCTTTATTGGGATAAAGTCGGCGAGAAGCAGGTTCTCGGTCCTGAGTTGATCGAGGACACAGTGTAGAAGGTCGCTGAGATCCGAGCGAAGCTGAGAGAGGTGAAGAGCAGACAGACAGCCTACGCTAACAAGTGTAGAAGGGAGCTTGAGTTCGAGGCAGGAGACAAGGTGTTCCTGAAGGTCTTGCCGATGAAGGGCGTTGTACGCTTCGGGAAGAGAGGGAAATTACAGCCCCGATTTATAGGGCCGTTTGAGATTCTCGAACGAGTTGGCGTGACCGCATACCGTCTGGCGTTGCCCCCAAAGCTCTCGGGCGTACATAATGTCTTCCACGTATCGATGCCGAGGAAGTATGTGTACGACCCGAGTCACATCGTGAAATTCGGCGAGCTAGAGGTCGGGCAGAACCTGACATATGATGAGAGACCAGTAGCAATCCTGGACCGAAAGGTTCGGCGATTGAGGAACAGAGATGTAGAGCTCGTTAGAGTTTGCTGGAGTCGCCACGACGAGTCGGAGGCCACATGGGAGAGAGAGGACGAGATCAGAGCTCGATATCCAGACTTTGAGTTTTGAGATGCTCTGATGTATATATGTATTTTTATTTTAGTACTTTTGTACATAGTTTGTAATAGGAGTTCTGGCCTAGTACCCTAGTTTTGTATTTCCGAGGACGAAAATATTTTAAGGAGGATAGGTTGTAACGCCCCGATCATTATTATAATATTAAGATGATTTTACTGCTTGACTTTTAAGTGAAATTCGTAATTATTAGAAATTCAAGATTTATTTAATTTATATGCTAAATGCTCAATTATGTTAGATTATTCTTTAGAAAATTTCCGAGTCATGTTAAGGACAAGATCACTTCATTAATTTGGGTTGATAAGTATAAATTAGTCTCGGCCCAAATAGAAATCTCCAAGTCATTTCCGAGTAAATTTTCCTAAGTCATAGCCTAGCATATAAGTAAATGCTTAGAACAATTTTCTAAGTGTTATGTAGTATAATTCAAGCCTTGGGCCTCATTCAAACCCTAAACCCGAGCCGCACCATGCACTCGTGGCAAGCACCCACACTGAGTCCTACCGCACCCGAAGTCCGTGCCGAGGTCCCAAAGCTATGCCCACACCATGCCTAAGTCCTGGATACTATTTATAAGTGTTGATGGTGGCATTTGAGCCTTGAAACCAGGCCAACACCTCAGCCCAAGACCTCCCCGCGCGCAGCAGCCCAGCGCCCAGCAGCAAAAGCCGCGCGCGAGCCCAGCGCCCAGGCCCGCGCCTCCCGCGCACTAGCCCACGTCCGAGCCCAATGTCGAGAGTTCCAACCCACTTCCCTCAGGCCTAATTTCGTGCAAGGATGACCAGAGGAGCAAGGGATATTTTGGAGACCATTTGACCCAAGAATAGTCTTGGTCAAGGTCAACCATTCTAGTCTTGAGTGGACATGATTTTCTTGAATAATTAATACTTTGGGAGGAGACAATGTTCCCCACTACCATGCACCAAGACCAAACATGTTCCCTCAGTATTTGTGCTCACAAAAAACGTGCCTATCCCACTAAAGTCTTGCAAGACATTCCCTAGACCCTATGAGCATAAAATAATGAAATGTCCCCCACTCACCTCACCATAGCCTCATGTTCCTTCACCCCACTTAGTGCTCTTATAGGAACATCATTTCCTCAGCTGAAAACTCTTGGAACACTTAAGAAATTTTGACCATATCACTTAGAGAAGGCAAAGAAAAACTGAGGACCCCCAAGCTAGCCACTTCCGCGCGCGTGCAAGGCCGAGAAAGGAGCTCTCCGAGATCCAGCCATCCCTAGCCATATTCCACCGAGGCTCAGCCCATCCAAAGTGTTCCTCACATTTTTAGAAGATCCCTCATCCATCCAAGCTCGGCCAAAGTCGCCCAGAGTCGAGGCCTACACCCTCAAGACTGCACCTTAGCCAAATTCGAGCCCTAGCATTCGTTTTTCATTTTGGTGAAGGTAAGCCCAAGAATCCTTTTTCCTCAGCTATGTTATGATAAAATAAGATTTATCATGAAGATAAATGAAGCCATGCATGTCATTTTCCTTGAGTTTCGATTTTTAGGATTTAAATACCTTATTTTCGAATTTTTAGCCACAAGCATGGGAAAGCCAAAATTAATAGCTTAATGTCACTTAAAAATCATAAGAATTAAGATGTGTAAGTTTGAGCATTTTTGGAGCACGTTTGTTCGGTCAACTAGCTCATGAATTAATGCCATTCACTCCCAAGTCATAATAATGTGCATGCAATAAAAAACCCAAAAATCATGTTTTGGGTTGTATAACACTCGCCCTTAGTCAAATGTTCAAGTTTAAGAAGTTGGTTCGGTGACCCTAGGTCCGTATGTGCCTTATCGGCCCTACTGGACCACATGCATGTTAACTCGGGGTCTCCTAGGGCTTCTTTACATTGTTATGTCTATTTCATCATTTTAAGTTGATATATGTTGCATGTCCCTAGCAAAGTTGCTAAATAGTCGGAAAAGGCCGGTCACAGTCACTAACCGCACATACCGCGCGTGCAGTGCGGGCTCGTGCATACTCGCTCGTACCCGCGCCCTCACAGGCTAAGTTCAGCCCTTGCTAGTGCCAGCGCCCCGAAGGCGCGACACACAGCACCAGCAGTGCACGCGACCGCGCCCGGCAGCGCGCGTCTGTACCCCGTGCACGGTAGCGACCCCAGCAGGGTCTGTTGAGTCCAGCCGCGCCCGCGTTGTGTCAGCCACACGACCCCGCGCACCAGCTGACCTCGGAGCGTGCCTAGCAGCACGCTCGAGTGCCCAGAGACACCAGGGACGCCCGGTAACGTGCCTGCCCGTGTCAGCACCGTGTCTGCCAAGTCCAGTAGACCCGGGACGTGCCCAGCAGCATGCCCGCGTGCCCAGAACCCTCCAGGGCGCCCGGCAGCGCCCGCGTAGCCCCACCGAGGCCGGTCAGTCCTAGCCAGCGCCCGATCGCCCGGTTTAGCCGAGCCGGCGGTCCGACCAGTCAGCGAACCGGCTGGTTCGACCGGCAGTTCGAGTCCGTTTGATTCGTAAGTTCCAATCCGATTTTTATTTCCGAACTTAAGTATTTTTTCTGAGCCAAACTCGCTAGTTTAAGTATTTCAGTTAAAAATCCGGACTTAGTATATTTTTAGCGAAACCTTAGCACAGTCAAATTTATCTGGTTTGAGCATTTGAAAATCGAGCATAATATATATATATATATATTATGAACATAAGACTTAGCATATTTTTGGTTATATGTTTATGTAGCTTGAGGAGAGTCGAGCCTCCAACAGCTACTATGTTCAACACTTGCGACAATCAGTTATTTTCACAATATACCAGGTGGGGGTCATGTACTGGATTCTACATCGTCAATAATTTCTTTACCATGTCTACGATATGTTCGAGGTATTATGATCTCCCAGGTATGAGGCCGACCTAAGGGCCTTCTTATTCCACCTGGTACCCGATGAGGGCCTAGGTAAGGGCTTTCAGGTTCATCGGGTAGTGTGCACATGAGCGGCCGAATCAAGGGCTGATATGGGTCTTTGAGACCACAAACATATGAATAAGTTTTAAGTTTATGCTCTTATATATTCTAGTAATAATATGTTATTATTGATGCTGTTTTATTTCGTACTGGTCTTTGCGGAGCATTGTGGTTTGCTCACGCCCCCATTATGTTTTTCAGGTGATGGAGTCCAGCGCGCCGGGTGAGCGTACGTGACGGGTGTGGTCATGAGCCGAGGACATTTTTACCCTCCATTTTATGTCCTATATTCATGAACCATTATTTATGCATGTGTATGTAATATGTATGATATTCCGGTACGCTTCCGCTAGACTATATGTGCGAGACCTTCGGAATGTATGTATGTTTTCACTATCGCCGTAATGGCTCGATGAGTTGTATGTTTTATTTATGTCCGAAATAGTAAGTTAAGTAAGTTTTAGTAGCATCCCGCAATTAAGTAAGTATTTTCGAAAATAAACTTGCACGACATTTTGAAAATAAAAGCAAAAAATTTACTCTGATTTTTCAAAAGTCAAAGCTAGTGAAGGCGGGGTGTTTCAAGTTGCAAGGTTAGTTGCCTGTAGTTGCAAGGTTAGTTGTTCGTAGTTGCAAAGTTAGTTCTATCTTGTTACAGGGTTAGTTGTTTTTATTTGCAATGTTTAGTTGTATCCAGTTTGCAAAGTTAGTTGTCTGTAGTTGCAAGGTTAGTTGTCTTAGTTGCAAGGTTAGTTGTCTTTAGTTGCAAGGTTAGTTCTGTCTAGTTGCAATGTTAGTTTTTTCTAGTTGCAAGGTTAGTTGTCTGTAGTTGCAAAGTTAGTTCTATTTTGTTGCAGGGTTAGTTGTTTTTATTTGCAATGTTTAGTTGTATTCAGTTTGCAAGGTTAGTTGTCTGTAGTTGTAAGGTTAGTTTGTCTTTAGTTGCAGGGTTAGCTAAATGCACAATTTCTTTCATACATGATGTATACTAAGGTCAACGGGTCAACACCGGAGTCAACGTCGGAAATCAACGGTCAACGACAGAAGTCAACAGTCAAAGATTTTCATCGGAAGTCAACGCTGGAAGTCAACAGCGGAGTCAACGGTCAATGGTCATAATAATATTTAAATAATTAAAAATAATGAATTAAATAATTAAAATAAAGAATTATTATTTAAATATAAATCTAGTGGCTATAAATGAATCTCACATCCTCACTTTAAATAAACTGATGAATTATATGTATAAAAAAAACAGTTTTTTCTAGTTTTTCTATAAACAAGGCTTATATAGTCGGTCCAGTGTTTACACAAACCTCACTAAATTTGTATAAATATCAAATGGAATAAAATCTCTCCCGTCTCTCGAGAAAGAATCTTATCTTGTATTTTATCTAAATCTCCCACCGTTCAAATTTTTGCTTTATCCAGTCGTCTATCATCGGCCTCTGTCTCTCCTTGTTCTCTGTGTTGTCCCAGACGCAGTGTTGTTTTGATTCTGATTCTGAGCACCCAGAATTTCTAAACCTCCGAAAACAATTGGTTCTTTAAAGCTTTTGTAAGACTAAGGAGGATCAGCGTGTTTTTTTTCATCTTCAGGTGTGGTCCTATTCTGAGAACATCTGCTCTTTAGAAGTTCATCTTGTCTTTTTAGAATATTGAACTATCCATGTATGTGTCATTGTTAGTTTATAGCTCCTTTCTTGGCTGGTAGCTGGTTTAATTAGAAAAGTGAAAGCAACGTTGAAAATGAAGCCGGAGTTGAATCAGAAAGGGAATTATAGCAGAAAAATGTGGATCTTTTTTAATTATTAATTATTTACTTCTCTTGAAGTTTTGTGGTTCAAGAAGGATATGCCTTTCATTCTTTTTTGGCATTTATAAATATATTTTTGGTAATATTAACTGGGTTTGACTTAATTTGGTTTTGGGGTGTGGATTGTAATCATTTTATTGCTTTTCATATGAAAATGAAACAGAAAGGTTGTTCCTTTATTTTTTCCTGTTGGTGTATATTCCTGGCTGCTAGTGTGTTGTAAAGTTTCACAATACTGAATTTCCATATTGATGTTATTCATTCAGAATTACTGATTGTTATTGTCATGTTTTCTAAAGGAATTGAGATGGCTTCTCTACAAGGCCCCGCCATTTATCAAGTGGTCCGTGAAAAACAGACTGGATTAACCGGGACCGTTAGTTCGCCTCTACTGAAAGCGAAATTACACAAAACGGGATTATTGGGGCTCAAAGTACTTACCCATGGAAAAGCAAATGTGGGTTATAATCGGAATTTGAGAAAGTTCAGCTTGGTAAATTGTAGTTTCAGTTCCTCGTCAAATGGTGATGGGAGGACGGCTGGGAATTCGAACGAGAATGATGCCGACTATGTGAATTCAAGCGTAGTTGAAGCTGGTATGCATTTTTGAACCGTAAATTGTGTGTTCGCTGAAAATGAGTTTCTTGTGTGGAAGTCGAACTAGGAGCACAATTAAAAATTTAGAAGCACCTTTCGTTCAGTCTTAGAGTTCGGATAAATTTCTCATTTTTTTTTTTTTTTTTTTCTTTTTTTTTTTTTTTTTTTTTTCTGAATATAGAATTCCCATTAGTAACATTGGAGCTTGATTGTCGTTAATCTAAATGAGAACCATTGTTAGTGCACCACTCGTAAGGCAACTGATTGTAATTTAGTGCACGGTTTGGCTAATCTCGATTAATGACACGTGTTTATTTTCCGACTAGTCGAGGTAAGGAGTGGGGAAGATGGTTTCATGGTGAAGATGAGGGATGGTCGATATTTGAGATGCGTGCGCAATAATCTCCAGGGAGGTCACCCACCTGATTATGCCCCACATCCAGCAATTGTGTTGAAGATGGAGGATGGGACTGGACTTCTTCTGCCCATTATTGTTTGTACGTGCAAACTACTCTTGCAATCGTTTGCCCTTTTTCAATATCTGCATGTTATTTTTCATTTATGTAACATCCTGAACTTTTTTTATTTTTTATTATTTTTTTTTATCAGTGGAGATGCCTAGTGTGCTGCTCATGGCAGCTATGTGCAACATCCCAATTGTATGGCATCCTTAACTATTGAATTGGAAAAAATAATTTCTTTTATTTTATTTATTTTATACTTCCCATAAAATATGCAATATCGATAATTTCAGGCCAGGCCAACCATTTATTCAGTCATGAATGATATGATTGAGAAGATGGGATTTATAGTAAGTTTCTGTTATTTTTTTTATTCTCTTTGTGCTTTTAGACTAGCTCTGATTTTGTTACATTGGATTTTGATTGTTTTGTTTGCCGCTATTACAGGTGAAGCAAGTACGGATCACAAAGAGAGTGCATGAGGCTTATTATGCCGAGCTACACCTTGCCAAAGTAAGATCACTTCTTTTATTGCTTGGATTTCATGCTATGTGAAACTTAAGCATTCTTGCTGAATATATTATGTAAGAAATTGTCTACCAATGGTCCGTGCGTTTTCACTCTTTTAATTTTGCGTGTAAATAAAGATCGATAACGAGGCTGAGAGCTATGTCTTTGACATGCGGCCCTCGGATGCCATCAACCTTGCAGTTAGATGCAAGGTAATGTTCCTGTGACTGCCTTTTTCAACCTTTTTTTTTTTTCCATTTCTTGGTGTGTGTATTGTTGTAGTTATTTTTACCGGAGTTAAATCAAATGATTCAATCCCCGGGTTGTATTGCAAGGAAGGTTAGCCGTATTAAATTGTGCAAATATCCAATCACAAAAGAGAAAATAAACCCTAAACACTCTAATTCAGATGGTTTTAGATTCGATTATCAACTAATGATTTTCAAACAACGCAAATAAACAATTATCAATAACTTAAAACGGGTTTCTTATAAGTATGAGAAGGCTAGGGAATCGGGATGTTTATTCTCTTCTCAAATGAAAATATCAAGCAAAGATGGTTCGGTTAAATGATTCGATCAACCTACACGTCTAGAGATTAATCCTCAATAACTCTTCGTAACAAGAGGTTAAACATAGACGACAAATCAAACAAATCATAAGCAATACACTTACGAACAAGCTTACTCTACTCGAGCCTAGATCGATCGACTTCTCTCCTTTCGGTTCTACAAGTCGATTAAATAGATCAGGATGGTGATCAAGCATCTAACCCTAGGTTTAATTCCACACGAATAGATTGAACGGAAATCAAAAGCAAGATAAACACGAGAGTATGAGTAATCATCCTCTATCCTTAGCTAATGGATTTAGCCACTCATGTCAAGATGAACACAAAACTTTGTGAGCATGATTGGATATAAAAAGTTTTTGTTTTGATTGATTTTTTTGTTTGAGTTGGTTAAATTTTAAAAATTTGGTATGGTTAGTTGTTAGTGGGTATATTAAAATAAAATGATTAAAATTAAATTAATGTAAAAGTAGGATAGAGAAGATGTGATGTGGTGGTTAGTTAAAATTATGTGAGTTGATGAATAGTGAATTAAGGTTGATGTTGTGTATAAAAAATGATTGATTGATATTTAATTATATTGATAATATTGATGATAGTGGGGTTGAGTTAAAAAAAGTGGTTGAGTTAAAAATGATTGGATTTTTTGGGTTGGAATTATATCCAATCATGCTCTGTATGAATCAAATACTCTAAGCTCATAATCAAAACGAGATAAAAGCTTACGATTAACAAAAGTCAAGTGATGAATCTCAAGCAAAATCCAAATCCACGATGAGACACTTTGACACTCCCAAAAATCTCGATCTAAGTCAAAGATAAGAGAAAACAAGTTATGGTCTCTGATAAAAGAAAAAATCGAAGTCTGCAGAATGAATAATAAACCCTCCTCTCGATCCTACTTAATATCGAACAAATTTCAAAATTTAAAAGATTCAGCGCCGCGGCGCAAGGTCTGCCGCGGCGCGGCGCGATGATGTGGCGGGCGTGATGTACGTCGCGTGCGTGGCCCTCGGCGTGGAGAGACTGAAGTGCCGCGGCGTGGCACCTGAGAGCGTGGAATTCTCTGTCAGCCCACGGGCTAGACGTCCCGCGTGAGAGCTCGCGACGTGAGAGAGCTGGAGTGCCGCGGCGTGGCACCTGAACAATGCGTTCTGAAGGTCCGTTACGAGTGCCGCCTGCGTCGTCGCGCCGTGAAGGAAGTGAAGTGCCGCAGTGTGGCAACTGGAGATGAACTCGACCAGATAAACCGAGACATGCACTTTATAGAACCAGGATAGCTCGACTGGATAAACTCCAAACACGTGGTTAACAATCCAAACCTGCACACCTCCAAGAGAAGAAAACACCTGAAAACAGAGAAAACAACAGAAAATACGAAAACAAAGAAATAGCAGCAAACACACTAAACAAACGACTCGAAGACCGAAAATCCTATCAAAAGACCTAAAACGGGGGCAAAAAATCAATAAACCAACAAAGAAAAAGATATCAAAAATAGGACAAACAACTTACACACACTAAGAATTTGTTCGTCCCGAACAAAAAGAAAATAAAAGAAAAGAAAACAAAAATAAAAGAAAACAAACAAACGAGCAAGGACTACGGTTTCAAGTAAGGCTAGTCTCAAACCAATCAATCAAGTCGAGAAGAATTCCAATGATCACAAGAGCACACGTCAACTATTAGCTTGGCTACTATGTTTTGAAAAACACAGACTCTCGAGTACGGAGATGAAACATAAGTGCCTCACTCAATTTCTTTCACAAATATAAAATAGGTGCACTCAAATTGGTCGTCAGTCCAATCAATCATAAGTTTGCCTATCGTCTAACTTTTACTCTAAAACAATCAAATTCATGAAATAGTGAATCAAGAGGACTTCTAGGGATGTAATGTAGACTCTTTGGATCGGGTAGGATAAATATAGGCTAAGTGGCTCAATAAAAATCTAATCAACTCAATTCAATCACCTAACTGTGATCATGAACTCTTCCGGTTGTCAACACGAACCGTTCCTCCCACATCCTGAAAAACCAAAACGCTTCCCACATTTTTTTTTAACATATGAAAACCTTTTGGACATTTTATCTAGGTTTAGCCTTCGGGTTTTCTGCCCGATTCTCCTAGACCGGTTTTCCGATTCATTGCTCGTGGCCACTAAGATTAGTGGTCGGAGCACTTGGAGTATAATCCATTTGGCTTCCATTTTTTTATTTTTTTTTTCCCAACACAAATATTCAGAACTCCAACAATCGTCGCCTCCAATTTTCAACCCGCAACTCTTCAACGTCATCATTACGAGGTTATCAATAAAAATCAAATAAGGCTCGAAGGGGCGACTAGTGAGTGTTATTTTCGAATGAAGAAAAAGGGAATGAAAATACAAGGAATGTCTCAATCATGTTCACATTACACAACTCCAACCGATTCATTTCAAAGTAGATTCAAGGCAAATTCTAATTGAATAAGATTCCGACCAATATCTCACAAGAAACGAATGTGGCTCAATCCTCACAAGGTAGATAATGTCAATCAAAACAACCAAGCAATTCATCAAAATGTGTCACTTATGCTCATCATCACAACTCCTCAACTTAATAAATAATTATTAACCAATCTTGTAATACACCACAGTCCGAACTCGAAAAACATAAAAAAAAAAAAAACGAAATATTAGACTGGTCCACCAAACAAGAAAAAGAAATAAAGCAACCTAAAACAAAAACTAGACCTCGTCAACCAAATAAATCCCCCACACTTAAAACCAGACAATGGTCCCATTGTCGATTCTCAGTGAAGGAGAGTTACACCACGTAATTAACCGACTCGAAATAAAGAAATTGTTCAAAACGAAAAAGAAAGAGAAAGAACTACTTACGAAGCATAGTGACAAGTCACTATGTGTTCCGGAGGCGGAGGAGGTAAGGAAGGTTGACCGGCTCCCGAGCTCCATCGGGTGTCCCACTGTCGAAACTGGTCGTCCCACTGGTTCCATTTGGCATACTGCTTTTCTTCCCAACTGTCCCAACGGGCCTCTTGCTTGTCTATTCGAGCGTAGTGTTCGGTCTACCGGTCGTCATTCTTCTTAATATATGCCTCCATGGTCCACATGAATTCATTTTGTCGTGTTTGATAATCTACGAACCACGTGGGGGCCTACTGAGATGGTGCGTTCGGGATGCCCTGGGGAGATGGTATATGATGGTCCGTCTGATCGGGCTGCTCCTCATCTCTCGAGGCATGCTCGGTATGCTCTTTTGTCGCCTGTTGAGAATGTTCTCCAGTTGCTTGTTGGGACGAGCCCTCAGCTGCAGTTTTCTTCAACTCATCCAAATAAGCTTTATAGCACTTCCGCTTCGTATAATGCATGAGCGTGCGGCCATCATCTACGAGACCGGTCTTGTGGAGCTCGTTCCAACTGATACACACCGCTGTGGTGGCTAGTTCACCAGTTTGGGGAACTTTGAAATGGTCGGCAATATCCGTCACAACATGGCATAAGGTGGGATATCTTTTTTCGTTTTCCTTCTCGTGTCCCAGAGGGCGTGTTTGAGGAAGGGTAGAAGGCACACGGGTTTGCCTTCGCATATAGCCTCTAGGATGAATACTTCTTGCTCACTGACCTTGTTCCACTCGCGTTTCCCAAAAATGTTGCATGCGTGGAACTTGTGCACAATCGCAATGGGTACCTCCTTGATCAAACCTGATGACGGTCCGCTGCTTTGAAAGGTACTGCATGGAGATAAAGTCGCCCACTGCTTGTTGACGTCAAACTTCTCGGGTTTTTTACGTGCACCCGTTGTCTTCACGCCGAGAATGTCGCAAAGGACCTTATCTGTAATCTTGAGCTTTTTTACCTTGCAAGCGGCATGTGATGTATTTCCTGTCTTTGTATATCTCCAACGTACTAAAGAACTCAAAGGTAAGTCCTTTGTAGGAGGCCAAATTGGCGTCAACATATTTTTCCAGATTAAGGGCTTTCAAGTATTTTCTGAGTCATTGACTATGCTAAGGTTTTTCAACACATCCCAATCTACTACTTGAGAGTATGTGAAATGTTTTGCGGCAAGACGCTTGTAAGTGAACGTCTCATCTTTAGTGGGAATGGAATGCCGTTGATTTAAGCTAAAGTCCGGGTTTCCGTTGCTGGATTTGAGAGGTCTCGGGCGAGGATAACCTCGCCTTACTTTTGCCTTTGTCCTTCGACAGAGCCTTTGGTGCCGTTTTCGACAAGGAAGTTCTCACCATTCTTAGTCTTTGAATATGTTGGACAAAAAAGAGTGAATTCGAATTAACTAGCTTCTTTGCCAAGTTGTGGCAATTTATCAAACACTAGGTGTGCAGGAATTTGTGGGAAATAGACTGGCTCATCTTCTATAGATGGCTTAAGAGTTTTCAAGGTAGTGAAAATCGCCAAAACTCTTAAGCCAAATTTCTGCACATCTAGTGTTAGATAAATTGCCACAACCGGGCAAAGAAGCTAGTTGATTCAAATTCACTCATTTTTGTCCAACATATCCAAAGACTAAGAATGGTGAGAAATTTCTTATCGAAAACGTCACCAAAGGCTCCGTCGAAGGACAAAGGCAAAAGTAAGGCGAGGATAACAACCCCGCCCGAGACCTCGGGCGATTGGGACCATTCCGACTCAAATCCAGCAACGGAAACCCGAACTTTGGCTGAAATCCACGGCATTCCATTCCGAGTCCTTATTGAAGATGAGGCGTTCACTTACAGGCGTCTTGCCGCAAGACCTTTCCCGTACTCTCGAGTACTAGATTGGGATGTGTTGAAGAGTCTTAGCATAGTCGATGACGTCAGAAAATACTTGAAAGCCTTTAAGCTGGAAAAATATGCCGACGCCAATTTGACCTCCTACAAAGGACTTACTGTCGAGTTCTTTAGTACGTTAGAGATACACGAAGACGGGAAATACCTCACATGCCGCTTGCAAGGTAAAGAACTCAAGATTACAGATAAGGTCATTTGCGACATTCTCGGCTTAAAGATAACAGGTGCACATCAAAAACCCTAGAAGTTTGACGTCAACAAGCAGCGAGTCACCTTATCTCCTTGCAGTACCTTTGAAAGCAGCGACCGTCATCAGGTTTGATCAAGGAGGTACCCATTGTGATTGTGCACAAGTTCCTCGCATGCAACATTTTGGGAAACGCGAGTGGAACAAGGTGAGTGAGCAAGAAGTATTCATCCTAGTGCCTATGTGCGAAGGCAAACCTGTGTGTCTTCTACCCTTCATCAAACACGCCCTATGGGACACGAGTAGGAAAAAGAAAAGCTATCCTACCTTAGGCCATGTTGTGACGGGTATTGCCGACCATTTCAAAGTTCCCCACATTGGTGAACCAGCCACCGCAGCAGTGTGTATCGGTTGGAACAAGCTCCAGAAGGCCGGTCTCGTAGATGATGACCGCACGCTCATGCATCATACGAAGCGGAAGTGCTATAAAACTTATTAGGATGAGTTGAAGAAAACAACAGCTGAGGGCTCGTCCCAACTGGAGAACCTTCTTAATAGGCGACAAAAGAGCATACCAAGCATGCCTCGGGAGATGAGGAGCAGCCCGACCAGACGAATCATCATGTACCATCTCCCCAATGCATCTCGAATGCACCCTCTCAGCAGGCCCCCACGTGGTTCGTAGATTATCAAACACGACAAGATGAATTCATGCGGACCATGGAGGTATATATTAAGAAAAATGACGACCGGTGGACCGAACCCTACGCTCGAATGGACAAACACGAGGCTCGTTGGGAAGAAAAGCAGTATGCCAAATGGAACCAGTGGGATGACCAGTTTCGACAGTGGGACACCCGATGGAGCCGGTCAACCTTCCTTCGCCTCCTGACACACACAGTGACTTGTCACTGTGCTTTGTAAGTAGTTCTTTCTCTTTCGTTTTGTACAGTTTCTTTATTTCAAGTCGGTTGATTACGTGGTGTAACTCTCCTTCACTGAGGATCGACAATAAGGACATTGTCTGGTTTTAAGTGTGAGGGAGTTTTTGCATGTTTATGTGACTACTTGGTTGACCAGGTCTAATTTTTGTTTTAGGTTGTTTTATTTCTTTCTCTTGTTTGGTGGACCAGTTTAGTATTTAGTTTTGTTTTGTGTTTTTCGAGTTCGGACTTTGTTGTATTGCAAGATTGGTTAATAATTGTTGATTAAGTTGAGGAGTTGTGATGATGAGCATATGTGACACATTTTGATGAATTACTTGGTTGTTTTGATTGACATTATCTACCTTGTAAGGATTGAGCCACATTCGTTTCTTGTGAGATAATGATCGGAACCTTATTCAATTAGAATTTGCCTTTGAGTCTACTTTGAAATGAATCTATTGGATTTGTGTAATGTGAACATGATTGAGACATTCCTTGTATTTTCTTTCCTTTTTACTTCATTCGAAAATAACACTCACTAGTCGCCCATTCGAACGTTATTTGATTTTTATTGATAAGTAATGATGACGTTGAAAAATTGCGGGTTAAAAATTGGAGGTGACAATTGTTGGAGTTGTGAATATTTGTGTTGAAAAAATTGGGGTGATTGTTGATTGTTCTTTTATGCGAGTTGATCTTTTAAAAGAATTTTTCAATTATTACGCTTGATTGGGAATTGATGAAGAGTGACACTTCAATTTTCAATTGATTTACAATTGAACTCGATTTATTCTCGCATGATGTTGATTATTCTTATTAATTAGTCGATTAACAACCCTCTAGTCTAATTTAATCGACTCTTAGAACCGAAAGAGGAGTCGATCGAAATAGGCTCGTATAAACTAGGCTTGTTCGTAATTGTATTACCTAGGTGTTAAATAAATCACGTCTGTCCTCTTGTTACGAAAAGTTATTGAGCACGAATCTCTGAACGAGTAGGTTACTCGAATCATTTAGCCGAACGATCACCTGCCCGAAAATTGCATTTCAAACCAAAACGGATATCCCCGACTCCCTAGCAATAAGATTTAGCCACTCATATTCGATTCAACACAATCAATCTCAACAATCAAGATGAGCATATTCATGGGTTAAATGAAAAGAAAATCTTACGATTGATAAAATCCCAAAGTTGAATCCAATAAACAAGCTTAAATCCAAAGCAAGGAAGAATTCCAATGAAATCCACGATCGATTTTATGTTTAAAGATGAAAAGGATGAAAGAAAATAAAAAACGAGGAGAAGAGACGCTGAGGGCTAGGTTTTCTGTTTCTGGCGTGAAGAGATGATTCTCATCGAAATCCCGATGCCCATATATATATATATAGGCTAGCAGACTTCCGCGGCAAGGCAGCACGGGCGTGAGGAACCTGCTCCACGGCGTGGTAGTGCAGCGCGGGCGCGAAGGAAGTGGAGGGTGCCGCGGCTTGGCATGGCTCGCGGCGTGGCGCTGGGAAAGTATCGCTCTGAAGACTCGTGACGGGCGTCGTGAGCTGGCGCGCCCTGCCACGCGGCGTGGCACGCTGGGCCTGATTGCTAGCTTCCTTGGACGACTTCACGTCTCGGGCTCGTTTGGACTCGTCCGAACTCAGAATTCGATTCCGTCTTTTCCTACTTGTCTCCAACGAACCCTTCTATTTAGTTATGCTTGCACGGTCAATTTTTTTTCCATAATTCGGTCCTCCCGAAACCCCTGGCCTGCACACCAGAAACGAAAACAAAAATAGAGAAAACCTGAAAACAATCGAAAAAACACAAAAAGACTCCAAATAGAGGAAAACACGCAATAAAACACAAAACGAACAAAAAACGAACGAAGAGACCTAAAACGGGGGAAAAAGAAAAGGAAAAATAACGACGAAAAACGCAACAAAATTGGGACAAACATGTATCTATGAGAGAGAGAAAGAGAGAGCAATATAAGCTCAATAGTTGTTTGAGAGAGAAGATCATATAGGCTTAAGAAACTAGATGAACTACCCAATTAGTGATGCTATTGTAATTTGTCCCCTAAATCAATGTAGCATATACTATTCGCAGGTGCCAATACGAGTGAACAAGTTCTTGGCATATAATGATGGTATGAGGATTGTTGAGTCTGCAAAGGTGCCCGTTCAGAGTTCATCGTTGGATGGACAGTTGTTTACTGAGCTAGACAGGTGAAAACCGAAATCCAAACTTTTTGGAAAAATAATTAATCATTGCTGCTTGGACATTGAATAAGAGATGTAAGTTTATGAAATTGAGCATTTCCTTGGAGGAAAATCCGATTTATCAGTTTAGAGCAACATNCTTTTTTTTTTTTTTTTTTATTTATTTTTTTTTCTGTGTAACTTGTAAGAATTAAAATCCTATTCTTTTATTATTAATGTAGACCTACCGACCAGCCATGCATAGAGACGAAGGAGTTCATTTTAGTGAGGAACATGCTAATTGCTGCTGTTGAGGAACGTTATACAGATGCAGGTAACTTTCACTAGTAATTAGTAACCATTGTTAAGACTCAAATTTTTGGTGGGGGTAGCCAGAGAATTTGAGGCTTGAAATTTTAGTATCAAAATTCGTGTTTCAGTTATTTTTTTGAAAAATTATATATCCGTAGAAAGAGTTATGCAAACCAACCATCAAGTTTACTCTAACAGCAGAAAATTCCAGTTGTGTTTCTTTAAATTATAAATTAACTCTGAAGATGTTGCAAAGCACCCGTCACAGATTATATTTTGTACTGGAAATTGGATAACATTTTTATTTTTTTGGTTTTAGCTTAACTGAGGGGTCATTTCCATAAACAACCAAACTTTTGTGTAGAAATTTTAGACATCATCTGACTATTACCAATTGTTTTTGCCATAGCTCTGTGGAGGGACAAGTTAACCCAGCTTCGTAACAAGAGGAACTGGACATGATGTTCTTACACTTCATATCTTTTCCTATGGAATTTTAGGTAGCAATTTTCATTTAAGAACCTTTCCCTTTGTGCAATTTACCCCCAAAATAAATAAAAATGGCAATCCTCTCCTATATTTTTGGAGTTTCAGGTATGCTGCAAGGGGATTGGATGACTTCTGTACATAGAAATCAATAATCAAGGCATTTCAGTAATTTGTATATTTTGCTCATCTGAAGATTTATGTGGAAGGACTTGTATATATGTGTGTACATAGAAAATATATGGATTCTTCTGTTTAATGATCAAACATTGTGTTTATCATTTAGCATTACATTTTGGCTCGTTTCCATTTTTTTTTTCTTTTTTGTGTGTGTAACTAATATTTATTGTTATGATGTTGTGATATGGAATTAGATGTCTTTATCTAGAAGTTCCATAAGCCATGTCTCTCTCTCTAAGTTTTATATGTTGTGTTAGAATCTTTTTGGAGATTGTAAGGCTTCTCCAATCGTATTGCAAAACGGAAACTCAAAATGCAATTATGCTCCAATCGGAAAAATAGAACGTGAATTGCATTGTATGATGTTTCTTTCTTCTCTCGAATGCTTCACTGTTTTTTTAAGTAAATATTTATTCAAATTGCATTTTGATCCTTTAAGATGTGATGTATCGGAACGTACGAATGGAAAATAAGAGAAGAGATATCTCTATCAAATACGTAAATTCGTTATTTAATAATCCACCCCTAGAACAAAAGAAGAGGAGTCCTTAAATAAAAAGACTTTTCAAAGTCCTACAATTTTAGCTTGTCCAACAAGACAAGGACTTTGAACAATCATAATAAAAATATCCTACCGAGTATATTATTGATACTAACAATAAAAATAAACATATAAAGTACTATTTACTTAATCTCGTCTTCACCATCTTCCTCCGGTGGAGAAGGATTCGCCTTCGAATCTGGTCGAATGTCATCTTCATCATCCGGGAGCCTTCGCATTTCATGGACAAACACCGCACGAGAAAGGAATAACATATTAGACGGTTATGAAAAAGTAACTGAACGAGGCGGTGATGGATGTAGAATTATGCGGACGCCGTCAAATAGAAAGCCATAAGTATTGAGGCTACCATCGTGAACCACAGCGCGATCAAACCGTCCCGGACGCCCTAATAGAAGATGACAGGCGTCCATAAGCACGACGTCACACCAGACTTCATCCTGTACGTAGTCCCGATGGAAAAAGCAACCAAAACACAACGATCCACCATGACCGAACTCCCACGTTGAATCCACGCAAGTGTGTATGGCTGAGGGTGAAGTTCACTCGCCAAATGTAGCTTCTCGATGGCCTCCAATGCCACCACATATTCGCAGGCGCCGAATCATAAAAAGACACACATGTCCCCCAATCGTGCATGTGGACTCAAAGATATGATGACGCTGATCGGTAACATCGGACAAGACGTGGGGAGATAAAAGAGATCGACGAAGGACAAGCGCATGACCCACGTCCCCAGAGACATGCTCCTCTGGAACCTCAGGCTCGACTTCGAAAAAAGGGAGGGCCCATGTAATCGCCCGACTCCATATCCTCGACAAATAAAGCCCGCGACCCACTCAGCTTCAGACATTGTGCCTGACGATGCCTTAGTTTTCTAGAGGTGAAGCAACGCGGCGCGCCAAGCTATCGATTGTCTCCCCTAGCCGCGGGATGATTGTTATGTTTTTGTGCTTATTTTCGTGTATTTTATGTGTTTTAGTTGAGTATTTTTAAGTTCATTTTAGTGTCGATCGGTCCAATTTATTGTGTTTTATGTATTTTCATTCTCGTATGTGTTTTTGTATTTTTACCGTATTTTCTTGCATATTTTTGGTGTTCTTTAGGTCCAATTTGAAATTTCGGGGATACGTGTCGTTCGTTCCCTTTTCGAGACATTTCCAAGCCGTTCGAACCATGTCTGAGCCACCACAACCACCCGAGCCGCCCCCAGGCCAATTCCGAGACAAGACGCACTCACAATCCACTCGCCAGCGAAGAGCAGTTCGCGCTGTGCCAAACGTGCACCCAGCAGCTCCAAGAGCCACACTCACTGCGAACTTCCTTTCGCAACCGGCGAAACGCGCGCCCCAGCAGCCCATTTCCCTACACTCGCAGCGAACTTGTGTTCGCGACCCACGAAAGCGCACCAGTAGCACACCTCCCTTGGCACTCGTAGCGAAATCAAGTTGGCGACCCGCGAAAGCGCCATTCCTGCACTATTCCATGCCCAAACTCGCTGCGAACCCCGTTTCGAGACCTGCAAACTCATAATTTTAGTAAATGTGTGTGTTTTCAGTGTGTGTTTGTATTGTAGGTATAAATATGGATTTTGTGTTGTATTTTGGAACAATTCTCTCATTTTCCCAACTCTTGAGTTGGGAAAATCCTCTCCCCTCTCTCTATATTTTTGTGCTTTGGTGTGGAGATACAAGGCTTGACATTTTCCGGCGAGTTTTCTGGCGAGTTTTTTGGTAACTTTCCGGTTATCTTATTTTTATCTAAAATTCGTTCTCTACGCATTCTTTTCGTCCAATCTTGCTGTAGGAAAATAGGTACCTTGATTAGGGCTTATTATTTCGAGTTGTGATTTGGTTGGAATGATGTGTTTATGTTCGATTTTGGGCTTTGCTTTGTTTTCATTGCTTGTTTGTCTATGTTAGGGTTCGATACGTGCTTATCTAGTATAGAGGTCCCGACTTGCTCGAAGCGGGATGATCTAGGGTAGAAGGCTCGTGTTAGAATACCTAGGATCACTCTGCTAGCATGTTTTCTTTTTGTTATTTTTATTTTCGTCAAGCTATGTAGACTCCGTGAAACCAATGTTCGATATTTCTTTTGATTCTTGTCTTGTTCATCATTTGCTCTCGATTTTTAGTTTAATTGCGTGCAAATCACCCACAATGAAGCGAGTAGAATGTCTAGGACTTTACTTTCGATCTTGAAATTGACGACTAGATAGTGAACGGAGCTTCGAAGAGCCTTTCTTTGAGAACGACCTGAGTCGGGTAACTCGGTTACCACATGCCCAAAAATACTACAAACACAGGACCAACCACATGGCCACCAATCGCAACCCCTGCACTCGGCCGAATATTCGCCGCAGCCCCCACCATCCCCGTAGGATGTTCTGCGCTGATGTTCCACCAACAACGCCCTTTGATGTGTATTCGAGATCGTATCCGGGATAAACAAATTTAGCGTATCTTGGATAGAGACACGTAACCCACCGATGTAACGCAAAACAATTTGGTCCGTGGTTTCGCGAACATCAATACGCGTGAGGAGTCTATAAAACTCCTCTGTGTATTCATCAACCAAGCGCGAACATTGCCTCATGTTTCAGAAGTTTTTGATACATCGTACGCAAATAATTAAATTGCAAGAATTCTCGTTTGAGATGCTTATGGAATTTACCCATGCTGTAATTTTCGGCTTGCCCAGACGAGGCTGCGAACCCTTCAACTGCTGCCACCAAGCCGCCGCCCAGCCCCACAATCGCGTGGCGACGTGGTTCACCCTACGCTCATCGGACACTTCCTTGTATTCAAGAACGGAATCGACAACGGCCAACCAGTCGAGGAAGTTGGTCGCGCCCAGCCGTCCGAGAATTTTGGTATATCCACCTGGAACGCCGCCTCCCAGCGGTTGTCGCCGAAGCCCTCATCATCACATCGAGCCGTGCGGACGCCGAATGGATTCACCTCCGACAAGGTGTGCTATGCGTCCTCCTCGTAGTACAGTGGTGGGGGCGACCGATTGTGGGGCGCCCGGCCAAAGCCCCAACCGCTTCTCCCCCCGCATGCTCCCCCGCTTTTTTCTTGTCCCTCAGCAAAATTGCGGTTCGTTTTCTTGCCCTGAACAATGGTTTGAAGAGCCGGTAGTATGTCCCCGATCCCCACGGATAGATCCGCAATCTGACGACCCATCGTCTCGAACTGGCGGCTCGAGTTGTCGATGGCGGCGTCACGCCTGTCGTCTGCAGCATCTTGTGGCTGCATAGTTGATCTTGGCTGGTCACTAACACCAACTGATGTAGCGAAAGCGTACGAAAAGAAAAACAAGAAATAAAACTCTCAAGAATATATTCTTATTTCATTGAACTTGACCCATACTTCTAACAAGTAAAGTATTATTAAATATCTTTCCTACCAAATAAAAAAATACAATAATTAAATAACTTTACTAATAAATCTATGACTAAAATACTAACAATTATTAAAAAGAATAATTAACTAAATTAAATATCTCAAAAACCATGCTTGTCCTAAACTTCATCATTTGATGTAGCGAAAGCGTACGAAAGGGAAAACAGGAGATAAAACTCTCAAGAATATATTCTTATTTCATAAAACTTGACCCATTGAAACACAATAAAATAGAGGTCTTTAAATAAATCTCCTAAAAAGCTTTAATCTTGTCTAACAAGTAAAGCATAATTAAATATCTTTCCTAGCAAATAAAAGAATATAATAATTAAATGACTTTACTAAGAAATCTAGGACCAAAATACTAAAATAAATAAAAAGAATAAATAACTAAATTAAGGATATCTAAGATCATGCTTGTTCTCATCTTTATCATTCTCCCCCTCTTGAAATGGATTCTCTCTTATATCCGACACAATCTCGTCTTCATCGGAATTGCCACCGTGGAAAGGCACTAAATGCTTGACATTGAAGACGTCTGAGGTGCAAAAGGAATAGTGCGAAACATAAGGATATTACTTTTATGTGTTCTCACATTGTTTTGCAGGTTGATCGACATATATCTCTCCTCTCAGCTCTGGGCAGTCTCACACCTAGAGACTGGACAGGCTGCACGCTGCCTCACCGCTTCGTACTGTCTCCATTGCCGCCTATCCATCACCCATGCCCCAGAGCCGTCGTTTGGCTGAGACCCGACTCCCCTTGGGTTAAGCTAAAAAATGACGTATCTTTCGACCGACTTACCGGAACCGCCGGAGGTGGGGGCCTGATTAGGAATCACAGCGGAGCTCTCCTTCTTCAGGCCTCCTCGAGCTATGACCCGGAGGTTTAAGAGCTTCAGCTCGTTCTTAAGATTGCAGCCTCTATCTCTTCTCACATTTGAATTGAGCTGGACGCTGCCGCTGTCGCCACTCTCTTGACCTTAGGCCACCAAGGCTCGCGGTAGATTCAACACCCGCTCATGCGCATCAGATCCACACTTTAGTCGGTTCACTATCGAATCTCGCACATCTTCCGCGAGGGGAACCGACCTGCTAATTACCTTGCCAGTTTAGGTGCCTCCATCCCACTGAGGCTCATCTTCCATCTAGATGACGCCCCTCTTCACCTTCGTACTTTTGTGGAGATGGACTATAGGCTACCCTTTGGATGTCCTTTACGTACCA